TATTGAAAACCTACCTTTGTTTTAAACTGTGCACCATGCACTCGGTGAGGTGAGGACACTGGTAACCTTATGGTGCTGTTTATTTTGGAGTCATTCACTGCACACCAGAAGGAGGTCCTTGCTCGCATAGAGATTGTGTAAACAGGCTTTTTCTGTGAGGACATTTAGGCAGGGCTCCGCGGTGGCTTTGATAGGAATGTGGTATCACAGTTCAAGTGGAATGCAGAAACCTCCCCTCAAGCTGGGAGTTTGGGGTGCGGAAAGCGAGGGAGGTGATGAACAAGGAGGCAGAAGAATATTTCATAACTAACGACATTCTGTCAGAGTGGATAATGGATGTGGAGTGTGTGTGGTCTGGGGCGCTGGGCAGCCTGTGCTGGAAAGAAGTCTATTCATAGCTGTGAATTGACTGTCCCCTGGTGGTTTAATTGCATAAACTGCTGCACAAGACCAGCCTTTGAAATTACTTTTTCTTGCCATTGACAGAACTGACTGGATGTTGACTTTGCTCACTGGGAGCAGGTATAATCATTACATAATATGTTATGTTATTGATAATTTAAATATACTGTGCTTTTTTGTTTCCTTTCTGTGCTTACCCGTTTTTCTAATGGGTTTCTGTATATCTTTCAGGCCATTACCCAAACCAGGGATTTCTTCAGGAGGTGAACGAGCAAGTGAAGGCAACAGAAGATCAGGATGGCACAGGTGCTTCACATGGACACGAGCTTCCCAGGTGAGCTTTGCGGACAAACCAGGTCGTTGTCCAGCCAGCCGCGGTCTAGGTCACATCTCTGTCCACCTGATACACCTGTGTCTACACCTACCCATCCAGCAGTCCTTTCTGTCTGGCCACATTATTGTGCTTTTGTGGGATAGTGCTTTAATCGCCACCCAGCACCAAAGAAAGGCAAAGCCTAATTCATCCATTTTCTTACCACTTCTTGCAGTCCAGGGTAGTGGGGAAGCCGAAGCCTATCCCAGCAAGCACCAGGTGCAAAGCAAGGTACCCTCTGTGTCCAGCACACAGACATGCACACAGTCACACCAGAGCCAATTCACCTCCCAGCATGTCTTTGGACTGTGGGAGAAAACCAGAGCACCTAGAGGAAACCCACACAAACGTGGGGAAAACATACAAACTGCGCAAAGATAGCACCTCTGGTCTGGAATTGAACCCAGGACCCCAGCAGTGTGAAGGCTGTTAAGCCTACTACATTCAGAAAAACATTATGTTCAGGATTCTTTTAAATGTTTTTAATCTGTTCAGTGTGAAAAGGACTGTTTGCTTCGTCTTAACCTCTCAGGCATGGTTTCCTCAATCTTGCCTCTTCCAGGGAAGAGCAACCCCACCTCGCCCACAGCCATCCATGGCAAGGACCAGGACCTCCCCTATTCAGTGGAGACTCCCTACGGGTATCGGCTGGACCTGGATTTCCTGAAGTACGTCAATGACATTGAGAAGGGCAACACCATCAAGAAGGTGCCCATTCACCGCCGGCC